CTGAAGACACCCTGGCTACACTGAAGACACCCTGGCTACACTGAAGAGACCTCTCCCCACGGAGACCCTGGCTACACTGAAGACACCCTGGCTACACTGAAGACACCCTGGCTACACTGAAGACACCCTGGCTACACTGAAGACACCTCTCCCCACGGAGACCCTGGCTACACTGAAGACACCCCGATGGTGCTACAGAGATGGGTGTAAGCAGACGCCGGCTACACTGAAGACACCCCGATGGTGCTACAGAGATGGGTGTAAGCAGACGCCGGCTACACTGAAGACACCCCGATGGTGCTACAGAGATGGGTGTAAGCAGACGCCGGCTACATTGAAGACACCCCGATGGTGCTACAGAGATGGGTGTAAGCAGACACTGTTGTGCACCTTTCCTGGGAAAACCTGCGACAAATGTGTCACGACGCGGTGGAATCGGGCGCTCCTCACTTTTTGCCTTGATTTATTTGCCTTGCTTCAGGTGAAAAAACCCATCCATTTATCTTGAATAGAACTCTAGATATTCGCAACTGAAGGCGGGGAAGTTGTCGTTTTTCAGTGTAGAGATTAGCGAGAAAATGGCCGCCAAAGTTTGCTAACTCCAACAGCTAGAAGGCCTTTGTAAAGTGAAACATGACACATTTTGTGCCTTCAATCAGTGTCTTCCAGTAACATTCATTGGGACATGTGTTTTTATAAGGCTGTACAACAAGAGGTTAAGCCCAAAAATAAAAATTGGATAAAAATGTCAAAACTGGCGGAAAAATGCCTGTTTCTCCGATTTTGATATTTCGACGAGCGCCGGATTTCACCACGCTGCTTCACATATTAACTGTTGATATTTTACGTGGAAGAAACATGAAGGACATGATATTTGGCTGTTGATGTTATAGTTATACGTTGATGAAACATGAAGCACATATTAGCTGTTGATATTTTACGTTGATGAACATTGGGTGTGACCTCGGGTGAATCAATCGACCAGCAAAAGTCGCCATCATGGCATAACTCGACCGAATTCAACCGTGACGTTCAAAAACAAACACTATGACATATGATGCTGTATGACTTGACTACGTCAACACAAGAACTCTTATGATGTGAACTATTTGATATGTCGTTACATCGGATCACTTTATATTGTTACTGGCCACACAACAAACTGTCAACAGATCCCTGTCGCGACAATTGTCAAAGAAACTACGACCCTCTCCACTGTCTCCCACTGTTTGGTACAGTCCCAAGTATACAGGAGCTGGGGAAACAACAACAACAAAACATAAATGTCATCAACCCTGTCTGACAAACCCAGTCCACATCAACCCTGTCTGACAAACCCAGTCCACATCAACCCTGTCTGACAAACCCAGTCCACATCAACCCTGTCTGACA